ACGGCGGTGGAAGGGCCGAAGGGAAGGGGGGGGCTGAGGGGGCGGCCAGGAAGGGGGCGTTGTCGTGGGTGGGCGTGTTTGGGGCGGGCCGCCGCCACGTGGGACCAGGGAAGCCGCCCGAGGAGCGGAGCAGGGCGGGGGGAGACGGTGCCCTGGTGGGAGGGGCCTCTGCTGAGAAGGGCCTCTGCTGAGTGGCCGTCCTCGGGGTTCCTCCTCCGTCGCCCATGAGCGGACGATATTTGAGGGTTCCCCGCTCGTCACCCAGCCTCGCCAGACCTCGGGAGCTCAGCCGGGTTGACCCCGCGGGGGGTCAAGGGCCCCCATCCAGACAGGGACCGGCTATGGCAAGCCCCACTGCTGGACGGTGCTGGCCTTCGGAACCCCCCCCGGGGGGGGGGTCGCCAGGAGTCAGCTTTCCACCCCCGCCACAGTCCAGAAAGCGCCGCTTGGTGTGTCCTGTTTGCTGGGCTCCTGGTCGCTTCTGCAACCCCAATCCTCTTTCGCTGTGTATTGATTGTACTGACTCAGTCTGGGTAATCAGCCTTGAGTCCCAGCGAGAAAGGTGGATTCTAGGTAGAACTAACACTACTAGGTAGAAACAACACTAAGCGTGTGTGACCTGATCCATAGTGTGGTCCCCCTAGTGATCTCACAGCAAATGGGGAGTCTAAAGATCCCTTGAATCCAGATTGGAGCCATCTGGAGGGAAGGGAAGCAGATGAGCATAGAGATCAGTTTCTTTCAGCAATCAAAAGGTTGTTGTTGTTGTTCAGTTGCACAGTCAAGTCTGACTCTTCCTGAATCCATGGACCACATCGCACCAGGCCCTCCTGTCCTCCACCGTCCTCTGGAGTTTGCTGAATTTCATGTTCGTTGCATCGATAACACTGTCTAACCATCTCATCCTTTGCCGTCCCCTTCTTCTATTACCTTAAATCTTTCCTTGCATCAGGGTCTTCTTTAGTGAATGCTCCCTTCTGATTTAGTGGCCAAAGTATTTGAGCTTCAGTTTCAGTATCTGGCCTTCCAGGAGACAGTCAGGGTTGATTTCCTTTAGGACTGACTGATTTGATCTCCTTGCAGTCCAGGGGACTCTCAAGAGTCTTCTCCAGCACCATAATTCAAAACCATCTATTCTTCCACGCTCGACCTTCCTTATGGTCTAGCTCTCACAGCCATACATTATTACTGGGAATACTGTTGTTTTGACCATACAGACTTTTGTTGGCAGGGTGATGTCTCTGCTTTTTATTATGCTGTCTAGGTTTGCTGTAGCTTTTCTCCCAAAGAGCCAGGGGTCTTTTGATTTCATGGCTGTAGTCATGAATCCCAGGAACGTGAATTCTGTCACTGCTTCCATGACTTCCCCTTTGATTTGCTGAGGAGAGCCGGATGCCATGATCTTACTTGTTTTGATGTTGAGTTTCAAGCCAACTTTTGTGCTCTCCTCCTTCTCTTTCAGTAAGAGGCTCTTTAGGTCATCTTCACTTTCTGCCATTACAGTGGTATCGTCTGCATATCTGAGGATGTTGATGTTTCTCCCAGCAGTCTTAATTCCGGCTTGTGATTCATCCAGGCCGGCATTTCACATGATGTACTCTGTTGGACTATAAGGAAGGCCGAGCGCCGAAGAATAGATTCTTTTGAACTATGGTGCTGGAGAAGACTCTTGAGAGTCCCTTGGACTGCAAGAAGATCAAATCAGTCAATCCTAAAAGAAATCAACCCTGACTGTTCCCTGGAAGGCCAGATAATGAAACTGAAGCTCAAATACTTTGGCCACCAAATGAGAAGGGAGCACTCACTGGAGAAGACCCTGATGCTGGGAAAGATTGAAGGTCAAAGAACACGAGGATGGCAAAGGATGAGATGGTTAGACAGTGTCATAGATGCAACGAACATGAAATTGAGCAAACTTCAGAGGACGGCAGAATGATCTGGTCCATGGGGTTGCGAAGAGTCGGACTCGACTGTGTGTGACTGAACAACAACTCTGCATATAAATTAAATAAGCAGGGTGATTATATACAACCTTGTCATACTTCTTTTCCTATGCTAAACCAATGAGTTGTTCCATATCTGGTTCTGTCACTTCTTGACCTTTATACACGTTCCTCAGGAGACATGTTAGGTGCTCTGGTACTCCCATCTCTTTAAGGACTTGCCACAATTTGTTGTGATCCACACAATCAAAGGCTTTAGTATAGTCAATGAAGCAGAAGTAGATGTTTTTCTGGTACTCCCTTGATTTCTCCATAATCCAGCGAATGTTGGCAATTAGATCTCTAGTTCCTCTACCTCTTCAAAACCCAGCTTCTACTTCTGGTGGTTCTCGATCCAGATACTGTTGAAGCCTAGCTTGTAGGATCCTGAGCATGACCTTGCTAGCGTGTGAAATGAGTCCAATTGTGCAGTAGTTCGAACATTCCCTGGCATTGCCCTTCTTTGGGATTGGAATGTAAATTGACCTTTTCCAAATTTACTGGCATATGGAGTGTAGCACTTTAACAGCATCATCTTTTAAGACTTTGAATAGCTCAGCTGGGATTCCATCACCTCCAGTAGCTTTGTTCTTAGTAATGCTTTCTAAGGCCCATTTGACTTCGCACTCCAGGATATCTTGCTCGAGGTCAGTGATCACACCGTCATGGTTGTCAAGGACATCGAGGTCTTTCTTCTATAGTTCTTCTGTGTATTCTTGCCATTTCTTCCTAATCTCTTCTGGTAGGTCCCTGTCATTTTTGTCCTTTATCATGGCCAGCTTTGCATGGAATGTTCCCTTGATTTCTCCAATTTTCTTGAAAGATATCTCTAGTCCTTCCCAGCTAGTGCATTTCCCAGCTTACTTCAGTTTAAGGCTGAGTTTTGCAATGAGTAGCTCAGGATCTGAGCCACAGTCAGCTCCAGGTCTTGTTTTCACTGACTGTACAGAGCTTCTCTATCTTTGACTGCAAATTATATAATCAATTTGATTTCAGCGTTGTCCATCTGGTGATGTCCATGTGTGGAGTCGCCTCTTAGGTTGTTGGAAGAGGATGTTTGCTATGACCAGTGTGCTCTCTTGGCAAAACTCTGTTAGCCTTTGCCTGGCTTAATTTTGTTCTCCAAGGCCAAACTTGTCTGTTATTCCGGTTACCTTTTGACATCCTACTTTAGCATTCCAGTCTGCTTGATGAGGAGGACATCTTTTTTGTGTGTGTTAGTTCTAGGAGGTGTTGTAGGTCTTCATAGAACCGGTCCACTTCAGCCTCTTCTGTATCAGTGGTTGGGGCGTAGACTTGGATTACTGTGATGTTGAATGGCTTGCCTTGGATCTGGACCGAGATAATTCTGTTGTTTTTGATATTGTATCCCATTACTGCCGCACTCTCTTGTTGACTATAAAGGCCACACCATTTTTTCTACAGGATTCTTGGCCACAGTAGTTGATATAATGGTCTTCTAAATTTGCCCATTCCCTTCCACTTTAGTTCACTGATTCCCATGATGTCGGTGTTCAGTCTTGTCATCTCATTTTTTAACACATCCAGCTTACCTTGATTCATAGATCTTACATTCCAGGTTCCTTTGCAGTGTTGTTCTTAGCAGCATCAGACTTTCCTTTCACCATCAGACATATCCACAGCTGCTTTCGGCTTTGGTCCAGCTGTTTCACTCTTTCTGGGGTTACTTGTACTTGCCCTCTGCTCTTCCCCAGTAGCATATTGGACACCTTCCGACCTGAGGGGCTCATCTTCTGGTGTCATATCTTTTAGCCTTTTGTTACTGTCCATGGGGTTTTCTTGCCAAAGATACTGGAGTGGGTTGCCATTTCCTTCTCCAGCAGATCGCATTTTGTCTGAATTCTCTGCTGTGGCCTGTCTGTCCTGGGTAGCCCTCCACGGCATAGCCCACAGCCTCATTGAACCACGCAAGCTCCCTCGCCATGTCAAGGCAGTCATCCATGAGAGAGAATCAGTAGGTTACTGCATTTAATTTTGGGCATGAGAAATGCAGGCGGGTTCTGCCGTCTTTGTGCTTTGAACTCTCTGGCCTCAGGTATTGAAAGTGGTATGTTTGGAGAAGGGTGGTCAGCCTTAGTGTCTCTAGGATCTTTGGTGAAGGAATCTGTTCAGGGTTCCTAATGTTAGAAGGATCTGGTTGCTGTAGTTTTTGTAATCTCTACCCTACTGGGCAGCTTTCCTCTCCCTTTTCGTATGATTGTCACTGTGAGTCGCCGGGGTTACGGATCTTGAGCTGACACCCCCCCACACACACACATGCACACAGTCTGTCTTGTATTGGTTGTCTGAATGACTCATTGAGCTAGTCCACTTCTTGACCTGGCCCCCCTGATGCCTGCAGGAGCAGAGCCTCTCTAAAGTAATCTTTTGGGGAGTGGGTCCAGCATCTGCTGCCCATCCTTGGGTGCTTGAATTTTATTGCAGCCATCAAAGGCATCAGGCCTGTGATGCATATGGCACAAGTGGATAAGCAAATGCATGATGTTGGCACCTAATTTCACCAAACGTTGGGGGGTTTTTTAGACTTGTTCTTGGTTTCTTGCACAACTGGCTGCTAAAAGCATCTGAAATATTGTCTTCAAATATTTGAACTTGCTCTTTCTAAAAAAAAAAAAAACCCAAGCAAGAAGCAGATTTTGGGGGCTTTTAAATGTATTGCAAAAAATAAATGGCTGTTGGTGAATTGCATGGATAATTAAGATCGGGAAAGTTTGGGCGGCTTGGTCTAAAAATCTGGCCTTTAGTTATAGTTCCAGAAGAGTATCAGTCTGTGGCAGG